TCAGCAAATATTGATGCTTGTGCATGCGGCTGGTTGCGAGCATCAATCATATCCCAGAAGTTACCTAGCTACCTAGAGGCCATGAAGCTCAACCTGGCGATAACTCAGCTAGCTGTGCTTCATATCTCAGAACTGGGCCTATGCTGGCAGTATCCATGATGTAGATGCTATTCCAAAATGCCGCTGATATCGTTCATATACTACCACGACCAATGCTGCCACAGAACGGTAGAAATGGCATACCCTATTTGCCGCTAAACCTCAATACTCAGATGGGATTCCGAAGTTCATAGACATTAGCAGGGCTCAATAGGGCTCAGAAGTGCGACTCCAAAATGACAAACGGCATGACCCAACACCAACCACCGGCAGCACCACTACCATCCCTGCACCACCTCCTCCACCCCCCACCCCTCCACCCCTCCGCGTCCACCCTTCCTCCCGTGCCACCAGCACCATTGCCACGATAGTACCACAACTCTGCCGACCACAGCTGCCGAAGACACCATCATGACTACGGCCGTTATGCCGGTGATGACTGCAACCACAGTGGCAGCAGCTATCACCCAACCACAGCCAGTGCAATGCCCCGCACCAAACTCGCAACCACAACTGCCCCCGCATCCACCGCCAGCGCCGACAGTACTTCTGCCATCATATCAACCACCTCCATTTACTTTGGCGAAGACATGTAAGGCTGATGGTGACTGTGTACGAGCTTGTGGCGGACAATGCCTCCATGCGTGTGCATCCGATACAACGCTTTGCAAGCCCACATATTGATGCATATTGCACACCGCACGCAAGGCAAACTTAGCTTGCAGTCCTGGACACAGCTGCGTTTGTTCACAAGGTTTGGCCCAGTGCCACTGTTTTCAGCTCCGGGACATGGTGGACCTGTAGGGTGCCGAGCGTCTTCAACAATTTAGGCTATGTAAAGGGAGTCATGAGCTTCGTGAATTTGGACCCCCAAGACCCTACACCCTCAGGAATCTCTGCATCGGGGCGAGACACAGTGGGACTTGATCACCTCCTTCGTGTGCCTTTTTTCCAAGAGCCCGCGAAGCAGAGAAAAACATCAAGCAAGCATGCCTGCCGAAGTTGCGGTGCAGGTTTCTGACTAAAATTGGTCCTAGCAATTCCTTTGATTTGGCGCTGCAGGCTTTTGACTGTGATGTTACTTGGAGTTTTGCCATCAGTTTGCAGGCCCTGTTTCTGGTATAAGAGTGGCCTCTTGCCACCATTGCCACTAGTTGCACATCCTCGCTTGCAATTGCTGATATCCAAAGCGTGGGGCCATCTATTTGTCTTAAGTTGAACCATCAGCTGTGCCCTCTATGACATCTGATTCTAGAGTAGAACAACGCAAATAATGTAACACGATATGTAAAATTGTGCTTTAAAATAAAGGTATGGAATACTGTGGTACAACATGTAAAATTAGGTTTTCGAATAAAGAACTGTAGAATACTGAAGCATTGTAAGGCGGAAGTACATAAAGGGCCCGCCGGCTGCACTACCGAAGACTCCAGGTAGAAAAGATCCAGGCTGTGACCATGTAATCTTCCGTAATCCTTTGTACTTGGTTTCATGTATGATACGAGCGTGTCGTAATTTTCCTATCGAGTGTTGACTGCTGTCCTTTAAAGACGTGGAGCATGGGGTTCCATGTAAGTTTGGGCAAGGGCAACTGCCAAATAGTGCTACTTATAGCTGCACCTGCATTGATCGTCGCATGATCCGGCGAGATGTTTCCGGAGGTCGACAGGATTTGAGCATGTGGGCTTTCTGTTTGTCGGGACACTACGCCAGCAGCATGCACGGTCATGTCATAATGCCGATTTCAGGAAGGCAGGAATCTTCATGGCAGCGTTGAACTGCAAAGGGCGTGACGGCAATCACACTACCGCTTGGGCAGTCGACAGGGCAGTACTATGCGTTAGTCAAAGACTTCATGCAAGGCTATGCGATCGGGTTGCACGTGTCCCAGCTCGAGCACGGTGACTTGGCGTCAAGTTTGAACCAAGTCACGGTAAGTCACTTTACAGTCTTTACGCTACCTGCTACCGCCGCCGCCGCCGCCGCCACCACCACCACCACCACCAGACCACCACCACCACCTCCACCACCACCACCACCACCAGACCACCACCACCACCTCCACCACCACCACCACCACTACCACCACCACCAGACCACCGCCACCAGACCACCCCCACCACCACCACCACCACCACCACCACCACCACCACCACCAGACCACCACCACCAAGTACTGAACACGACCAAAAATCAACACTGCCGACCTCGCCGTCGTCGTTGCCGGCAACCACGACCACCACTACCCCTACTCTTACTGATAATGTTCTTTTCCGTGAAGTTATTCTGTCTGCGCATCCCTGAAGTATTGGCAGTACTGTATGATGCTTAGTTGTGAATGGAGGAATGTTCTATAGGATTATTTTGTGGGCGATCACCGGGAGCGTAGGAGGGAGTATGCAGGGACAACTATCCTCATTCCCAAGGAACTCAGCATGATTAAGAGGAATCTCCTCACCGCTTGATGGTTGAGTACAAGCTTCAATTCCCATAGGTGAAAACCTAATCAGGACTACAAAGTTTTATCTTTTTGCATCCTGTCAGGGAATGAGTTCAGACTATCCCAGGTTCGGCCTAATGGACCACGAGATCCTAGAGATCGTCATCGCATACCTGAACCACAATCGAGATGTTTCGCGCTTGCAGACTGTAGATGGAAAAGTTCTACATGAGCCTACATGCTACAACCTTGGGACCAGTGGTAGTATAGCATACGTATGCTCATGCATGATGTAGCCCATCAAACATTGATTCTTGGTTCGTGGCAGGCTGGTTGGGCAATTAGACTTGTTGTGCCAGCGCGAGCGGGCATAGTGCTTCTGCCAGGACCTGACAGCAGCAAACTGTTCTTGTTCAAGTAGAGTGGAAGTTTGCACAAGCTTGATAGCACCACTAGTAGGAAAATACAAAGCCATCGCCATATTACAAGAGCCCACGCAAGGATGCTCTTCCAACTTGTAGCCTGGAACCGGGTCATTCAGGCATTGCTTCTAGCAGACTAGTGTGGTGCGCGAAAAGGTTCGGGGAAGAAGGCTTTGTCGAGGTGCAACCTACTGTCCTGTAGTTCCAGGGGTTGGGATGCTGTACGGGTAAGATCTTTTGAGCCAAGAAGTGAAGAGGGTGCAGGGGCAGCATTAGTGATGATTAGTATGGAGATGAGGAATGAATTCTAAACGCACATCTAGGCAGTCCTTTTTATTTCTCTCACCTCGTAGCCTTGAATCCCAGGACTTGGGCGGACAAATCGTGCTAATACTTGATAGGGAAAGGGATATACGGGCTACTTTGGGACGCTTTCCACTGGGCAAGATTGCAAAGGCAACACGAGGTCGATCCTCGCAGCAACCCCATATAAGGCCTAAACAACTCAAATGGTCCGTGTGTAACCCCCATATGACTCCTAAACATCCCCATGGTCCGTGTACATCCTTTTTGAAAACAACTATTTCTGGAAAATCCTTGTTCGACCTGTGCAGCGCTCTGTCTCATCGGACCTGAAATGCATTCCATGGATGGGTAGGGGGTCGAAGGAGGAGTGGTGGAAGGGACATGGGAGGTTCTGCTCATAATCCCTACGCGATGAGAGTACCCCCAGACTCTTCTCTTGCAATTCCATTATCTACTTTGAGAAGCTCCTACATGGCTGTAGTAAAGGCTTTCCGGGTTGGAGCTGGTGCGAAGAGCTCGGAGAACCTGTGAAACCAGGGCTGAAGGTTGAGCGTGAAATCAGGGGTGTGGCGCGTAGATCTCCCCTGATGCGGTCCTCAGAAAAAACCTCCGCATGCCCATCCGTGGTTCTTGGCCAGCCTTGCATACCGTACGTAAGGTCTAGGGCTTCGGGTCTACGGCAAGTCAGCACTTGAAAAAGCCATCAACGTCGCTGTCAGGGTTCTACACAGGATGAGGATCCAAACTCACGGAGTTAGTCAGGGCTGGTGCTTCAAGTGTGGTGTCAAAGTCGGCAAACACCTTGGACCCATACTTTGTGTGTGTCCCTGGGTTAACGATGATCAGGGACTTTCAAAGCATTGAGGTTATTCAGAGGACATAATCCATGCTCTAAGCCCCCTGCTCGCTGAAAGTAATGCTGACACCTCGAGCCCCGGCTGCTGTTATAGGATTGCTGTTTAGGAAATTAACCTGGCGTGCCATGAAGAGGAAACCATAGTACATGTCACTGATTCCATGTTATGGTAACTTAGTTTAAGCTTTGTAACAGCAATACAGTTCTAAGTCCTGAATATCTCGCCCTTCTCAAGAACCTCCAGATGTTGAGCATGTTGATGGCAATCTTACAAATCTGAACCGTGCTGCCTAAACGCTAGACCTGAAACCAGAATCAACAAATCCTATGCACCTTTGTACTGTAGTCCAACTACTTGCACAGTCACAGCTGGTAGCATGGATTGCCACAGTTCTCAACCGCTCCATCCATCTTGTCAGCTGGCGATCAAAGAATCAGCTATGCCTGGACTTGGTCCTTACACATCCCTATAAATGGATGCTTCGGGCTCAAGGCTTCTCTCTTGTTGAAAGCGTTTCAGCACCTCGCAGTAAGGTCCTGGCCGTATAAGCCACTTAAAGGTCAAAGCAACACAGATGCAGCACTGACAACAGTAATGCGTCGCAAAAGTTTTCTGGCTAGTGAGTTGGGCTTCTTTGCCTAATGAGAATAAGCAGGAGCAGCCGGACTTTGCAGAAACATGGCAATGGCCCTTCTCCTGATGGTGTTCCACCTGATTGCTGGGACAGATGTGCTGCTGATGGAGGAAGGCGAAGATACAGATGATTACGGCCTTTCTTTGTGACTGGGTTAGCTCAGAATCTGTTCTCTTGCTTGTGTAGATGTTCATTCAGGGAGGGATGTTCGCAAGTTTGCCAATCGGCCGAAGACAGTGAAGGCTGCAGTCTAGAAGTTTGCAGTTATTGTCTCCACCAACTCTGGATTGGGAAATTACTGATGAGCCCATCAGCTCCAATATGTGCAATGGCACGAGGTACAATATGTCACTACAGGATTGCTGCGCAGGAAACCTCTACAACCTGACGACGGAGGGCTGTTGCGGAAACCACACAGTCTATGCCTTCGCCAATCGAGGCTGTTGCAACAACCAGGAGGTGTACATCTACGGAGAGGAGAACTGCATCACTTCGGCACCTATAGAATTCGACTGCGTGGCTGACTGGCCTCCGACCTCCTATAGTCATTACTGGCGCCTCTACTGCGAAGAAGCCCGCCACATGGCTTGGGCCATGACGAAATCATGCAAAGTCGGTTGGGTCTCGGTGAACCAGAGTAGCCTCGAGGAGGCTGAAGCAAATGCCCTGGAGACCTGCAACCAAAGGGCCGCTGCCTTTGACAACGAGACTTGCAAAGTCTTCGACAGGGATGGAGCTGAGTGCAGGAGACAGCGCTGCGGCACAGAAATCTACGACGCGTCCGTGAGCTTATGCTGTGGGGATCGTGTGATAGACCGTGTCAGCGAGGGCTGCTGTGGCCATCGGGTCTTCAAGACGGAGACGCATGGATGTTGTCAAGGTGAGGTCTACTCCAAGGCCGTGTATGGTTGCTGTGGGGAGGAAATGCTTTATGACATGGAGATGGACGGCTGCTGCTTGGAAGATGGCCCGGAGGTCTTTGAGTTGGGCATACAGAACTGTTGCCGAGATCCCAAAGGGGTGTGCTCAATCCGACCTGGCCAGTATTCATGCTGCCTATGACCACCAGGGGTCAGCTAATCAGTCGGCAAACGACATGCAACTCTGTGCGACCCAGTACTGGGTTTAGTCCAGGTGGCAAAGTCGATGGAACAGATCCTAGACCGCAAAGAAGGTCGTCTACCTGACGGCCGTAGTTTCACATGCACATATGTTGATGGAACCCTCAGCATGGTGCACAAAGGTTGCTTGCAAGTTGAAATCTACCTCAGCTTTACGGTTGTACAGAGCAGTGTCCATATGCTGGCCCCAAAGAAAGCACACGCGGTTAGCGTTCTGACAAGTGTGCACTTCATAGGACAAATTCAACTAAAGGTGGTTCCTATGACGTATCCAATGAGAACTAGGATTTGACGTACCAGAACTAGGCCATGTTCTGGAAATCCCTCTGATATAAATATGGCAGCTAGGACAAACCAGGCTAGGTAACGAAAAAGCCCAGTAATAGACAGGTTATCTCCTCCAGTTGCCTTTAGAAGCCATTGTCAAAAACGCTAGTGTTTCGTAACATGTGCCTGCCTAAAGACAAGCCCCCATCCTACTGTATTGGTCCCTTCTTTTCCAGTGTCCGAGGTGAAGTCTGCTTGGACTCGTAGAGGGACTCGGTAAGCGGTTCATCATGGGGATAACTGGGGTTATAATCTGGTTGTTTAGGGTTTATACATATACTTACGAAGTCCCCCGACCCTCCAAGTAGAATCCACGCACTTCCCTCGATGAGGCTCAAGTCCTAGATGGCCTGTATGAGTCGATCGTTTAAGACCTCAACATCACGGTACGCTTGGGAGTAGAGAATTTGATCCCAAGATTGAAGGTGAGCTATGGAGCAGGAAGATATTTGCCTGCGACATGCCAGATCAGGGAAAATCATTGCAAAAGAGAAGACAGCACATGACGGCACTGCCATCTTTCGCCGGTGCATCAAAAAGAGCCCGCCGCCATCCATCGAGGATAGGAAAACGGCCCAATCCTCGATAAGGCACTCCAACAGCTACGCTTCGCGTAATGGGAGCTTCCAAAAAAGTGACCCCGTTAGATGTAGCCGGAAACATATATAATCCGCATTATGCGGACTTTAAAAGATACACCGAAATTCTGGGAAATCCCAACTCTTTATCGCAAACTCCCATCGTTTCAGGGCGCCTCATTGTCCGCGCGTGCGGTCATCTTGGCAAGATGATCTAACTTGTAGGAAAATCCACTACAATGAGAGTCTCCGCACGGGGTTGCAAATTACAACGTACGCTTCAAGGCCAGGAACATCTTGCTGCCAGGATGGCTGCTGCATTTGGTGGGCTGCGGTGCGCCCCCCTCACTCCAATCACGGTAAGTCTGGATTCCTATATAACCAACCTAAAAGCAAACACAAAAACAACCAAAAACGCTAGAGGGCCTGTTCTAAAAGTTGTGTTTTTGGCTTTGCCCCAGGTTTGGTTGTTGTTTTTGGCTTTGTGCTAAAATTAAGCATGATGTTGCTTTTTATTGTGGTTGGCCCCACAGATTGGGACACGCCAGCATGTTTGCCGTGAGCTCCCAAACTTTGGGGCAGTGCAGCATGTTTGCTGGGGTTCTTGCAAGAATGCTGTACTGTCCTAAAGCTGTCATAGTTGGGGACCCAAAGCTTGGGGACAATAGAGCACTTTTGTTGGTTTTCTTACAAAAATGTTAATGCTGGACTGCTCCAGAACATCGGTTTTTGGTCCCAGGTTTACAGGGAGCTTTGCAGCTTCGGGAAAAAATTGGGAAGACAGCATATAGCACGCTTGCTATCTGGGATATCTTTCTTCAGGCAATACAGCTCTTTTGCGGGCTTTCTCCTGAAACTGCTGGATTGTCCTAAAAACTCAAGATAGAATCATGCTGTACTGTCCCAACAAAACCAAAGATCTTTTCGAACCTCCGAAGGTTCCCTGTGGACCTAAGACCACAAAGATTGGGACTGCGTTGCATTTTTGCTAGTATCGCGAAAGACTTTGGGACAGTATAGCACTTTTGCTGGTTTGTTTGCAAACATGTCGTGCTGTCCCAATCTTTGGGGTCACCAGATGCAGGAGGCCTCAGAGGTTCCAAATTGTTTTCTCGGGACAGCACAGAATTGTTGCTGTTTGGAATTGTTCTTTTTGACGGTACAGCACTTTTGCTGGTTTCTTTGCAAAAATGTTGTATTGTCCCAAAAATTGTTGGTTCGAATTTACTCGGCTGTGGACCCCAATAGCAGGCTGGCATTGGCATTGCTTTTTGAATGCTTGGTTGTTCTATATCATTCCACATGGAAGTATATCAGTCCTCACGAAAAGGATAAAAGCTCTCCCAGAAAATTTCACGAAAATCGTTGATCACCGACCATCGCGCGAATAGCAAGCCAGCAGATCACCACAAGGGCGCGGCACGCAACCGGGCGCAGCCCATGATAGAGGAGCTTCACGCCACAAGATTTCGACTCATCCTGCCCAAGCAACACCGATCCAAGAACGTTCGTGGCATGTGCCAGAACACTGATCAGGCCACTGACCGGGCACGAACAGCACCAACCGGAACACCGACCACCCCGACTGCTCCACGATTCTCCAGGAGCTTGCCAACATTGAGCGGGACAGCAAACGGAACACCAAAAGCCAGCAGCGATCGTAGCTAGGTTAGTTGCAAGTTTCATCTTTGCTTAGTTGTAATTGTTTTTTTTTTTGTTTAGTTGTAACTGTCCCCCCGAAATGCAAGCAGGCCCCCTCAACCCCCCTTTCCACCCCCGTGGTATGGCCCTCTGATTCCCAGCCCGGGCCTGTCAAAAGTGTGAACGGTCACAAGGATGGTGGGTGCCAAGCTCGCAATCCTTGTAATTGTTCTCGTTCTTGTGGGGCCTTGGATGCGCCATTCTCGTAACTGAAGTCGATTTCAATGCCGCAATTCCCAAAAGTGCCAGCAGTGACAAGGATGGTGGGTGTCCTTGTCACCAGTAGCGTACTTGCCATTGTTTTATGATGTTGCACATCTCAGAAGTGCCAACTCTGACTGGGATGGTGGTCCATAGTGACAGTCAATACAATCAATGGCCATACCCTAAACCCTAGAAACCCTGAACCCTCCAAACCCTAAACGGTAAAAAACCTACACAAACGGGCACTGAGGTCTACAAGTTCAAGTCCTAATTTATCAGAACTCGTACTTGTTGCAGGGTGAAGGGGGGTTATACTGCTACTACGTAAGTGAAAAAGCCCGAATACAACGAGAAGGTCATCGATTCCGAGCAGAATTCTGAGGATGCTCCACGAGCCAGCGCTCCCACCCGCCAAAACAGCAAGAGGGTCGAGATTCGCATTCCCGCCCACCGGAAATAGCGGAAAGTTCATCATTCGCATCGAGAATTTCGAAGACGCTCCACGCGCCGGCGCTCCCACGCGCCGAAAACAACGTGAGGGTCGCTCCACGCGCCAGCGCTACGACAAGCCCAGAACAGCGATAAGGTCGTCATTCGCGCCGAGAATTTTCGAGGACGCTACACGTGAGGGCAGAATTTGAGCCACCCACCGCCGAAAACACCAAGAGGGTCGTCGTTGGCTCCGAGAATTTCGAGGACGCTCCTCGCGCCAAAAGCCATGACGAGCCGCCAGCACCGTGAGGGTCGTAAGTAGCAGGGCCTCAACAGCTTGGAGCTTTGAAGGGGTATAGCGCAACATCCTAGAAAAAGCTGGATGTATGTCTCCCCACTCTATTGGCTGTGAATCATCTTCATCCTGGTCTATTTAGACGGCTCGGGCAGTAGGGATGGTGGAGGAAGCTATACCCCATTTACTGGAAAGAATGTCTGGTAGAGGAGCTCAGCAATCTTCTCTCTATCACCTGATGTGGTAATGTAAATACTTCCAGCGGTAAGTTTTTCTACAAAGGAGTCGGGGTCTAAAATTGTGCGCTCTGCTACGGTGGGAGGTTCGGATTTGGTTGAATTTTAAGAGCCCTGGAGCTGGCAGTGCTGGATATGGAGGTTCTTTTTCAGAGGGCGCAGATGGTGCTGCGGGCGCGCTGGTCCCTGATCCGCCACTGGAGTCGGCTGACATTGCGCAACGAAGCTCGCTGGGTGATTTAAATGCAGATGAGAAAGATGATCAACACACTGTGAAATCCTTATAAGCCATACATGCAGTGGAAGATTGAAAGCAGGCGCTGAGCGCAGCAAAGAAGTGGACCTGGTCGTGGGATCGTCGACCGCTTTGAGATTCGTGGACGTTCCTAGGGGGCCAAAACTTTCACAAACTGCCCATCGGTGGTCATGAAAACAAGTTAGGCCTTGAGTCCTCAAATATACCTCAAACGGCGCGGCCACATGCGGCCATGGTGCTCGCGCGTGGCCTAGCTTTTCCAGCTCTCCTCCGGACTTCCTAGAGGCCCTAAAATTCCCGAGATTTTAGGGTCCATGGCAAAAGCTAGAGGCTCTAAAATCTCCGAGAGTTTTGGTGCGGGCAGGGCGACCAAAAATCTCCGAGATTTTTCTTTGCGCCTCATTTACGTCTCTTTGGCTGACTGTGTGGCGGCTCGGTTGATGGGCGTAGGTCGCGCGCGCCACTCTTTTGGAGCTCTTAAATCTCCCACGGTCAATCAATCAGGGCGCTGGTCAGTCAGTCTCACTTTCTGTCGGTTTATGAGTCTGTCAGTCGATCTATCAGTTTGTCGGTCTGACCGTCCATCTTTTGTCGAATCTGTCGGTCTCTCATTCCATCGATCTAACGTTCTCCGAGGTCTGTCCGTCTATTGGTCGGTCCTTCAGTCTAAAACTCTATCCGCGAAGCGCTCTGAAGAGGAGGTCCGTCGCTCTAGCAGCCTATGTCGGTCTGTTAAGCCCGCTCTCGTGATCTCTCGAGTTTGTCAGTCCCTCTGTCTCGTGCGTCAACTTGTCGATTGGCTGATCTGCCGTCGCTGAGTTTGTCGGTCATGTCGGTCTCACGTTTGGATGAAAGTTGTTGCGTTTTCTCGGTCTTTCCGTTTGGCAATGCGTCGGTCTGTCAAGTCTAGCA